AGCAAGTGTGCAATCTCTCCTAAAACTAGAGGAAGGCCTCCCATTCTCAAGTTTCAGTGTCTTTGTTTTTAAAGCACAGTTATCTGTCCAGCTCCTTCCTCTGACACTTTATCCTCCTCATTAGTTTCTCACTCTCCCAGCCCTATCTCTTTTTCTTAAATAAGCTTTTTCAAATCTGATCTGTACTCTCACCTTTCTTTACCTGACACAAAAAGGGTATCCACAACTGTTTCATGGAAACAGAAAGGGGTATCGAAGTGGTATTCCATCTCTCAGAAGAAATCAAGATTGTTTTTTACAACTACAGACAATACCTACAGTTGAAACCAACTGGTTGTCAAAGAACCACAGTCTGACAGTGCTGAACTAAATCTGCCGCTCAGTGAATGGTGAAATCAGGGAAGCCTTGATACCTGACTGGGGAAGCTTTCCCACACTGTGTCTCCAGTGCAATCACCTTGCTTTTCCCCCAGGTCTATTCTAAGACGAACTGCCTTCTATGGGTCTTCTCTAAATATTTCCAGTTTTGCTTCTATTCTCTAAATATTCTCTAAACGTTTCCAGAAATCTCTTCCCTTTGCAGTAATTCCAGCAACCCTTTCTGTCCATTAACTAAAAAGGGAATATACTCTGGCAGGTTCAGATAAGACAGAGAACAAGTAAGTTCCAATACCAATTTTTTTTCAAAGAAGGTGCAAGTTCAGGCATAATTTCTCAACCCAGCTATTAATTTTCATAAAATCTGATGACATTATCTTTGATACCTCTAACCCGTTTAGCTGATGGCAAAAAGACAAAAAGTTACTGCTAAGGTGAACGGAAAACAGCCTTGCAAAATTTTTTCTTAGCTATTTTATTTCTAATTGGGTTTTCTTCTCTGAAGATTTACTTGACTAGTGGAAATAGACAACTATGAAATTATCAATTGAAAAACTGCTTTAAAAAAATTTCTACTGGAAGGTACTGCATGCTGCAAATTGCATTGTAAATAAACTCATTCGAGTAAGCAATTAAACATCCAATTATTTAAACGGTGGTTAACAGGTTTGAAGACAAAAAGGAAGCACGTACTTCACTGCAGTGATAACAACATTACGCTTTGGTTCGTTGTCGTAGCTCACACTTTCAATGCCGTAAACCTGAGCTAATTCATGGATGATTCTGCGGTGATCTCTGTTCATTGGTGGGTAACAATGGCTCTTCTTTGTATGCTTGCCCTGAATTCAAGAGAAAAGGTCGAGAAAAGAAAAAAAGTAAAGTTTTCCTTTGGGGGGAGCAGGGGAAGGAAAAAAAAAAAAAGTGCTTCTACCTCTAAATCTTTGCTGCTGTGACAATATTAGCACCACAAATTCCTAATAACTCAGTATTGACAGAAAACTCATCTAAAAATGTCAATTTATTTTCCAAAAAGTAAATTACATGTTCTTTATTGTTTCCATACACCTCAAAATATACACACACGCAGAGATACATGAATTTTGGGTTTGAAATACAAATCTTCAGTGTGTCCTTCCTAATAGCATATCAAAGAAGCAACATTAAATGATTTTTTTTCTGGATATTTTTCAGAATGATATGCCAGTTTTGAATCAAATCTAATTTTAGTTTTCAGAGTGGCTTTGCAATGCATATATTGAAGATAGCTAGCTGTAAAGGTGTCAGATTTAGCACTTTCATCTACCAAAGAAGCTGTTTATCTGCAGAATCTGCTGTGTAATGGCATCAGTAGACATGGCATTTTTATTAAACAAAACCAAAGCTTTAGTTTCAATTTCAGTGTAAGAAGACTGAGAATGCTTGATTCAGTGCTGATTGCTATATAAACAGTAAAAGAACAAACAAAATAGCAGGGGCCTGTGAGTCCTGTCCTAATGGTTTGACTGTAACAGCAAACTGGGACTGCAGGCAGTGCATTTAAGAATGCTGAGAGACCAGGACGATGTCCCCGTCTCCATCATCTCTGAAAGACTGTAGAGAATAGGGTAGGAATCCAATGACTAGGGAAAGGTTAATTGTTGCAACTATGCTAAAAAAATTATTAAAAAAAAACCCCACCCCACAAAAAAACCCCACACATAAACCAACCCAAGAACCACAGGTTTATCAGGTACACTTCAAATCCTGGGGAAAACAAAAGCAAGTCCTTTTAGAAGCCATTTTTCAGTACATGAAGGAGAAGGTGCCTGGGAGCAGTCAATGTGGATTTACAAAAGGTCAGACACCTAAATTAACGTAAAGACCACATGCAAGAGAGCAAGATAGACATCAGAGGCCCATTGTAGCTACCCTGTAAGTAGAGGGTTAATATCTGTCTTCTCTTAGACTGAAAAATAACTGTTAGGAATAATAACTGGACCAGAAACTGTGGTCAATCATTTCCGTAAGTCTTCAAGGTAATCACATGCTGTCAGGATATAATCTTTGCTTAGCAATAAACAGCAATAAACCTCCTACCTATTACATTATTTCCAGCATACAGGCAAGCATTTGAACGAATAGAAGTCTACAGATTCTGCACCTATTTATGATTGCTTTAAAAAAGTAGTAATAGTTCCGTGGCCAGAAAAACACCAGAATTTCTGTCCATATGCAGACAGAGCTGGGCGATGTGTTTCCTGGTTTGTCTGCTTACACATACAACGATAACAACCCTGCTGTGCTAGAAGAGTACCCGCTGATGAGTCTAGGGGAGCAGATGTTCAGGAGGCAAGCAAAGTCATATGATACATACAGCTGAACCATACTAATGCTCAGGCTTGGAAGTACCACAAGGCTTTGTGTTAGTCATTTATTCGGTTAAGCTGAAGTCGGTATCTTCAAAGGCACAGGGAAAAAAGAAGTCAAAGTGAAATGTGTAAGCAGAAGTAACAGTAATCTGTATGAAAGAGACAGTACTGACACAGAGCTACCTGGATGCTTGACAGACTAGCATGAAAAACACTTCTAATACAAGGAAGTAAAGCTCTACATCTAGAAACAAAGAAAATAAGCTACATCCTTAGTCAGAAAGGATTTAGGAATCATAATAAACAACTGAACACAGGCTTGAGCATAACGAAGACTTGGGGATTGTGGCAGCAGAACTAAAACCAGTCTCCTTGCATAATGCCATATCAGACATACTAATCTAATCTTTGGCTACATAAAGAGGGAGCTGACTTGGTCAGGTTGGACACAGCCCTCAACAAGCAACACTGGTAACACTTAACAGGGAGAGAGACATGTCCAAAACAACATAAATACCTGTAGGTTGCAAGATGAAATATGACTCTTACAAGGGAGAAAATAAAGGCTCTGAGACTTTCAGAAATAAAAAGGTATGCAAGAAGAAGAATTAAGCATAAAAGCAGGTTAATTTTACAGTGCATGGAACACATACCCTTTTATACCATACAAACCACCATTATGAAGGAAAAGAAAAGCAGAGCATAGCCTCCACACGTGCTGTCACTCCTGCCCTAAACGAGCAAGGGGGACACATGCAGGCTGGTCAGCCTAACCTCGATCCCCGGGAAGGTGATGGAGCAGCTCATGCTGGAAACCATTTCCAGGCACGTGAAGGGCAAGAAACTCCTCAGGAGTAGTCAAAGGACAAGAAACTCCTCAGGAGTGGTCAGCATGGCTTCACCAAGGGGAAGTCATGCTGGACTGACCTGATAAACTTCTATGATGAACTGATGCACCTGGTAGATGAGGGGAGAGCAGTGGCTGGTCGGCTCTCGTCCAGGCCTGCAGTCAGGTCTCTGACACTGTTCCCATTGCAGCCTCACACCCCCTCGGGCTGTTGCTGTAGGGACTGGGTGAGCAGACAGTGAGGTGGATTGAAAACTGGCTGAATGGCCGGGCCCTGAAGGGGGTCATGAGCAGCACGAGGTGTAGCTGGAGGCCTGTAACGAGCAGTGTACCCTGGGGGAGAGGAGGGCCATGTCCTGGGCCTAATCCTGTTCAACATCTTCACTCGTGATCTGCTCCGTGGGGCAGAGCGTACCCTCAGCAAGTTTGCCAAGGACCCAAAGCTGGGGGAGTGGCTGATAGGCCAGAGGGTTGTGCTGCCCTCCAGCATGACTTGATAAGCTGGAGAAATGGGCTGATGGGAACCTCGGGAAGTTGGGCAAGGAGAAATGCCGAGTCCTGCACCTGGTGAGGAGTGACCCCACACACCAGTACATGAGCAAAGAAGGCTATTGGTATCCTGGGCTGCATTAAGCCAAGTATAGCCGGCAGGCTGAGAGAGGTGCTCCTTCCCCTCTACTCAGCACTGGTGAGGCCACCCCTGGAGTACTGTGTCCAGTTCTGGGCTCCCCAGTACAAGAGAGACATGGACGTACTGGAGGACCAGTGAAGGACCATACAGATGTCAGAGAGACTGGAACATGTCTCCTGTGAGAAAAGGCTGAGAGATCTGGGACTGTTCAGCCTGGAGAAGGGAAAGCTCAGGGGTGCTGTTATTATCAATGTCTATAATAACCTGAAGGGAGGGTGTAAAGAAGATGGAGCCAGGCTCTGTTCAGTGGTGCCCAGTGACAGGACCAGAGGTGGGGGGCACAAACACCGGAGGGTCCCCTTGAACATCAGCAAACACATTTTCACTGCGAGGGTGCCTGAGCACTGGGACATGCTGCCCAGGGAAGCTGTGGAGTCTCCATCCTTGGAGATACTTGGAAGCCATCTCGATGTGGTCCTGGGCAACAGGCTCTAGACGGCCCTGCTTGAGCAGGCGGGTTGTACAAGATGATCTCCAGAGAACCCCTCCAACCTCAAACATTCTGCAGTTCTGTGAGACAACATTCCCCTCATGTAGCAGGACACAAATCAATGTGCTGTTACCAGATGGGCTGATGCGCAGAAGCACAGGAAGTCTGTAAGCAATGTGAATAATGCAAATCTAGAATGGGCATGTAAAGAGAAATCTAAACGGAAGAATTATTTCTTATCTGCATTATAACATATGGATACCAAGCTTCAAAGCCTGTATCAATTGCCTTTGGTGTTCAGAAAGAAACCTTTTCCATTTTAAAATATGATTTGACTTCTGGGGACTGAATTGTCATGTGGGCCTGGCTGGTTCATCCTGATGATGATAAAAGCTTAAGTAACCATTCTCCCTTTAGGACAGACAAGGAAAAGATTATCACATCTGGTTTAGACCATTTTTTCATTCTATTTCCCAATGCAGATGATGTTTAACAGTTAGACACCATTTGTCTGCTTTGCAGGATCGTTATTTAACAAATAGTTGTTTACTGCTGAGAACTAAAGCACGGGAGATGCCCCTGAGCTCTCTGGTTCTTTTATTCATATGGGATGTGACTAAGTCATTATATATTGCAAATTTAAGACCTGTGGTTGCCCCATGTTTTAAATATATATTACCTGTCTTGGTTTAGTATTAATACAGGCATATATATTGGTATACACAGTTATGATTCCATATAAATATATACATGCATACACAACTGTGTGTGTGTAATAAAGGCAGTATACAAGGTATACACAAAGTAAAATAACCACAGGCAACACAACACTGGGCAAATTATTTTTAGGTGGTAAGAAAGAAATGTTCTAATCATCTATTACCAAGTGTTTGAGGCTGGAGAGGCCATTCGACACAGATGGCCCCCCTTCCAGACTTCCACTCCAATGTGGAAAACAATGGGCAAGAACATTAGACAGGTGGACAACCACTAGGATTGTTTAAGAAACATCATGCATATAAAAGAAGGAATAAAGTTAAGTACTGTCCCCAGGGGATAGAGGGAAGGAAATTAATACTTTCTACCGAACATTAACTCTTTCTTGACCTAAGGGCAACTGAGGATAGATAGTATGGTTTACACTGTCCTTTCAAGCTCATGTACAGGGTCAGGCATGGTGCAGCAGCAAGCCAGGAGTATGCTAACCTGACCGGCCTGCAGCTGGAATTATGCTTTTACTGTCTGTGGTATCAACCTCTAGGTATACTGGAGTCTGCCAAGAAACTGTGGCTGAATCACAGTCTCCTTACAGAAGGAAGATGGCTACCTCACACACTGGCAAATGCAGGAAGGAGGTATCCACAAATTTGTGAGCAAGTTCTGCCATGGGGGTGAGAATAACCTGGGCTTTCCTCCTCACAGTCTGAACCTCTAAACACCCCTTTTATTAATGAAGATCCAAAAATTAATGATAATTCATTGATGTATTAAAGCCTAGCACTGGTTGAATTTTTCAACAAAGCTTGTCTGTCACCAAAGTGATTCTGAATTACGTCTCCTAAAAATTTGTTCTATCTATAATTACAAAATTAAAGTAAATTAACATTTATAATTAAAACTGGAGAGCAAATAGATCTAGTGTCAACTCATAAAACTATTGGTATTAATAAAGTTTAGTAAACTTAAAACTCCTCCCAAACTAAATAAAACTGTTTCTTATAAGAAGCCATACAGAATATTTGAATACTGACCTTATTCACAGCTTCCACAAGCATTCTCATTTCCTTCTCAATGTCACTGACAAATTTTAAATCCTTCCTGCAAGAACAGCATTCTAGGTAAATGAGGCAAGATAATGTACAATGATACAATATCTTCATCTTCTGTAACATTATTTTCAACAATAAGAAAATTAAAGAACTCAATTGACTGAAGCAGAAGCGAGAGCACATTTTGATTTATATACTACACTGTTTACATTTAAAAAAGTTAGCATGTCATCACTATTACAAAACTAATGAATTTATTTTCCCCTCAACCCTTGGAACTGAGCATAAAATTCTATGCTAGAACTCTACGGTCAATACAATTCTACATTTTCAAATGGATAACGAAGATTTTCAAGTTGCTATTTCAGTGTTTTTAAATTACTTGTTGTTATGATGATTCACTTAATTGGAATACACCATTAGACACAAAAATGGGGATTTGGTAAACAGAGTGGAGTTCTTTTCCAAGACAGAGGAAAAGTGCACTGACTTTGGTCTTCAACTCATATAGCATAACAAACTAATAAGAACAAAGGAAGCATAAGGCTACTTGCAAGCATCTGTCAAAACTTAGGCAGAAAGCTGAGCTACCCGAAAAAAAACGCTGTAACAGATACACTTCGTAGATCCTGCCATTATGAGACAAACACAGATCTTCTGCAAGAATGTGGAGCTAAAAGTTCCCCAAAAGCAGTCAAGGAAGTCAGCTGATAAAGCCATAGCTTCACAATTTGCCGATTGCTGCTCATGTCATGACAGACATGTCAACACAAGGAGAAACTATTTTATATTGAAGACTAGATAAATGAAGTCCACTAATTCAATGTGCAAAAGTCATTGACTTGAGGACTAACAAAATCCTTCACTTTAAGCTGTGAATTGGTAAGAATAGCCTGGGTGTGTTAGTTTACTGTGAGTTACCAATATAAAGTGGCTACAAAGGAAATGCAAGTAAAATTGCAGAATGACTGAGAAGAGATATTTTCATAGAGAAGTACAGAAGCATTAAGGCTACATTTCAAGGTATCTGCTAGACCATCTGGAATACAGTGCGTGATTCTGGCCAGCTGTGTTCATGAAAAATGAACACTGCACTATTGGCAGAGAACGGCTGACAGGAAGGTGAGATTGGATAGTACTCCAGAAAATGACAGGGGAGTGCACACATGCCACAAGGTATTAAAACAGTAAGAGAATGAACATGTGTGCTTTGTTTTGTGAAAGAGGTAGAGCAGGACGTATTCTACATGCACTTAAGAGAACAGTCCTTATAAAATACCACCTTTAAGTGCAAATACTAATAAAACAGTACTTCCACAATCAAAACTTACAGGTCTTAACTTGTAGTAGGCTAATCAGTTGGAAGTAAAGCTGCAGGTGATTTACTCCTTAATTCTGTATGACTATTTATGTAAAATTTTTACTTAACACATCAGCAAATGGAATAAAGTACTTTCAAGCAGAAAACATCCTCACAAAAATATGAAATTTATGTATCATTAGGATAGTGAAGCAACAGCAAAACAGATTCAGCTGTCCTAAAAACTTAGAGCCAGTAAAAACTGTTGTCATGCCTACAAACACACAAGAGTAAAAACTTCTTAGATGACACTTATAATTTAAGCATCTTTTTAAAAATGTGTCTGATCCCTCTTTGTCAGACTGCGTATTTAATAGTGTAATGCTTTTGGTATTACTTGATTTTCTACCATCTCATTTTCAGATGATTCAGTCTAGCACCTCTCTTTGCTGCCAACAATCACAGAATCACAGAATGGTTTGGGTTGGAAGGGACCTTAAAGACCATCTAGTTTCAACCACCCTGCCATGGGCAGGGACACCTTCCACTAGACCAGGTTGCTCCAAGCCTCATCCAGCCTGGCCTTGAACACTTCCAGGGATAGGGCATCCACAGCTTCTCTGGGCAACATAGGCTTAGCTCTGCATCAACCAAGTGTTTTACTAATTCCATTTCTTTATTTTTAAAAAAGGCAGCAAGGCAAAAAAAAAAATTTAGTCCAATGGAGGGAAATAATGTCGGACTCTGAGAGCATATTTCATTACTTAACCACCTATCCATTTTGCCTTTGTCTTGAAAAGGTTAAAAGGTTAAAAGGAGCAGAGTGATGGGTTTGGTTGTGTATGAAAGCAGTGGAAATGAGAAAAGTACAAGTACTGATTTGTAGTGAGAAGAATGGTGGAAAACTACGTTCCCCTTCCAAATCTGGTCCTGTTACAGAACAAAGCAATCCATCAGGCACTTTCTACTTTTCAGGTTCTCATTTTGGAGGTCTTGAACAGGGCCCATCACCTCCTTTGCCTCAATTATCACCTATTGACAAGGCTGGAGAGAAAAGTAAACATGGGCATTTTTACAAGAGCAAATAGAACTCCTCTGCATTTCCCATCTTTCACTCACCATTGTTTACCTATGACACCCGTCATTATTGGAATACATACCTTGCATCTTCTTTTAAAAGGTCACTGTATTTTGGTCCAGAAGAACGGACGTTAAAAGGATCAGAATTATCATCTATTTCAAGAGCCTCAGCAAGACGCCTAAATTTGAGAGCAAGAGGGAAAAAAAACCTCAAAACATAAACCCACAACCAAACAAAAATAAACACACAAATGCCCCCAGCCTCCCAAACATGTTGTCACTGAAGAGTAAAGGTATGGGTTACTAATACTGATGGACAGCTTGCAGAAGATATAGTCTGTACACTTGAAACTACTCATTTAGGACTTTTCACTAGAATTCTCTAGTAAGATCTCAGATTACTCATTACAGATCCCTATAACTCAGGAATCATCTCCACATTTATCAGCTCATGAAGCAAAGGGGTTTTTTTCCACATAGCATTAACTTTCTTAACCTGGTCTACTTCTGAGAAAAAGCAAGGAAGTTCACTGCCCACCTGTTCCTCTGAAGAGCTAAGCATTCTTCATCACACTGCAACCTGAATTATGAAAGAAAAATACAATTAAAGTCACTGCTGCTACTCATACTTTTCAAACTGTAGTTTTGTTGCTGTCCTATCGTTATGCAAGAAGCAAGAAGAGTGTGTGAGAATAGTTTATTGTATTAGATCAGATAATACAGCTAAAACCAACCAACCAAAGATCTTTGAGCACACAAGCTCTTCTCCAGGTCTTTAACAAAAGTAGCAATTAGCCAAGCCATATGGCTGAGAAAAAGTTTTTGACTGCGTAAGTGAATTTCTTCTGTTGATAATAGTTCCTTGATTTCAAACAAATCATTTTCACAGGGGAAAGTGGTTCATTCAGTGACATATATTTATGTCTGGACACACACTGCTACAGGGTCCAGAACTTCTGCCTCAAAGGAGGCAGAAGAAAGCGAACTTGCATCCTTAAGATCAACCTGGTACTGTTTAAAGTAATTTTCTTAAAGAATCATTTTCTCCTCCTGTAAAATAGCCAGTTTAGACAAGCTACTCTAGGACTGACCAAGTTTATCACCAAAAATCCCCCACACCCTAAGAAGGAAACCAAACTGAAGTATAAAATGCCTACAGACAGGACCAGAGAGAAACAAAGGAAATCTCTGCACAGTTCATATAAAATATTCTATTATTGTAAATGAGTTAAGTATATTTGTAAGTTACTTGGACAATACTGGAGTCTGACAATAAAGTATTTATTCTTCAATTTCTGGTTTATATGCCACCATCTCAACACCCCCCCACCCCCAGTATTTGGTAGATGAAAAGAGTGGGGAAGGAAGAACACTTCCTCTGACTGTCCTTGCATACAGGCTACCTGCCACAGTTCAGACGGCACATTAGGAAAGATTTGCACACGGAAAAGGAATCTCTGGTAATTGCAACTATTGAAGGAAAGGAAAATAAGCCTGCCCACACAGAAGGATGTGCAGCAGTGACTACAACAGAATTTAATTACACATTGCAAAGGCTGGGACACAACACAGTCACTGCTGTCTTATCTGCTGTCCTGGTGAGCGTACAGCTGTTACGACAGACTTGCAGCTTCAGTAGCTGAAAAAGTCATCCTCCCCCTTTCTTAGACCACCCCACACATCCCCCTTCCCCCTGAGTTCTAGCACTGCCAAATAGTTGCTTTCTTTAAAGACTGAATCTTTTTTTTCTGGAGAAGCTGAAGTTGGCTTATGCTGTTGAGTATATTTGCATCTGGTTGGCATCGTGATACAAATAGGAACAAAGTAGTTGAGGCTCAATCTTGGTGAAGCAGAGATTATTCTGTAGGAATTCTAGAAACAAAAAATAATGCTTATACTCTACGTTTTTGAGTATTCAATAATTGAAACAAACAGGGTAGGCTAAAGACTCAGCTACTGTTTCCTCTTTGTGTCTTTCTTAAACTATGCTTATACAGCACTAATACCATACTCTTTAAAGCTGCACATGGGAATCAGTATGGTTCTCCCCCTTTCACTTTGTTTTTCCCCTCCCCGATTTCTTCTGAGGTATGACACTGGCCCAACTAGAACAAAGCTGGAGACTGGGATGAGCACATGCTCCCATGCATCATGGCTGGTATTAGTTTATCTTGTCCAGACATTCAGTTAAAATTAGTTCAGGGTAGAAAGTTATCCACCAGGACTTGGTAAGAAGGTGTTACAACTTCACAGACACTAAACAAAACCAGAACAGAATGACTACCAGAAGTTCTTGAACTATGCTGGCATTAGCTTTTGATACAGGAAGCCATGAAGGAACTGTATGGGAAGTTTCACTACATTACATGATATAAAGGAATATTAGATTTTAACACACGTGGCAGACTGACTCTGAAATAATCCAATTCACAATTAAGAGGGAGATGATAACAGAAAAAAATACAAACAGAAATTAGGGACTTCAAGGGCAAAGGCTTAAGGAAATCAAGATTCTGACAGAAGGATGTTGGAGAAACGACAATTCCTTAAAGAAATGAGACTGAAAGTAAAAGACATGCTATTCCAATCTTGAGAAACATCAGAAGGAACAGAAAAATCACCAGTCACAAGGGGTTTTGTGACTTTAAAGGAAGATTTACAGTGCCAGCCAGTGTAAGAACACAGAAGTGCCAATCGAACTGAGACCCAAATGTAAGAAGTATAAAAAGGGCACTAGAAAAATATTATAAATAGTAAGATGATGACTAGGGGAAAATACGTCCTATTCATCATCCAGGAAGTAATGCTGGGTGCTGAAACAGAAGATAACAGCAAAAGTTACACTGCCTAGAAAGCTGAAAAAGATCCAGAGGAGCCCTAAGGAGTAGAAAGAAACTCTGACACCACAATTATATTGTCCCATACATAATTATAACAACAAACCAGCCCATGGCAGAGAACTCATTCCACGTGAAAGCAAAAAACATAACCCTCTAAGGAACTGCAAAATACTTTTAGCAGTACTGTTTGCAGTAGAGTCAGGCTATTTAAAGTCTTCCTATTTAGCCGGGATTTTTGCTCACAATATTATGTATTTTCCTCATCATCTATGTTTCAGGTACACACAAAGGTTTCAAATATGTTTCTACATGTATCTCCTTACCTGGCCTGCTTCATTTCTTTTTTTGTAATAAGCCTACTGATTTCCACTGAATCCCCAAGCTGTAGATCTGTTAACTTGGTGGCTATAGATATAGCAGCTATTCTGAAAAAGAAGAGCATTAGATTTCATTTGAGGCAACACATAAACCTTTGAAAAAGTGTGTAAAGCTGCAGACAAACCTCCAGGTGGAATAAACCAGGTGGACCGTTTCCCCATCAGATTACAGAATGGGACTCTAGTTCCACATCACCGAGTTTCAGGAGTCTAATCGAGCCACGCCAATTAAGAGGTTACTCTCTCTCATCTCCCTCAAGCAACTAGGAGCAAGACTCACAAATGGACATGCTTCTTCAGGGTATTTTTCAGAGCATCAGTGCTAAGCAAGTCTCAACTAGGCAATGTAAATACTCTTTGTTCTCACCTCCTTAATACTCAAATTACAGCTGACCGTAGAGATTTAACCGCCTAAATTTTACATGATTCTTCCTTAACTCTCTGCAACTAAAACCTTTGAAGTGAATTTATAAAGTCCTTAGAAATTTGCTTAGAAAATACGGATTATACAAGCCACAAGAAAGGAGCAAAATGCCTACCGAGACTGTTACAATTTTCTTTATAAAGATTCTTCATCATTCCCTTCAGTAACCAGCCTTCCCCACCTGATTTTCTTGCTAAACTTTCTATAACTAAAATATACAGCAATTTTTTAGTGAAATATCCCGTAGCACTCTCAAACAAAATCCTGGAAAGGGAACATTTTATCCTGTGAAACATCTTTTCTGTTAAATTCAAATAAAAGGATGTGTTTGTATGTTTTCTGTCACATTCAAAGAAATCATCTATCAGGAAGGAGGATAATCATATTACATAAAACCAAAAGGCACTGAGTGGCACCATCAGCTTCCTATTTCTCAAGCGGTGACAAAGGCCATTAGATGATGAGACATCATGATTTGTATGGTGTACAGACATAGCAGCACATTCCCTTTCCTGTTCCCGTGGGCATTCTTTCGCTGACATAGCTCAAAGCTGCTTTATCACTCCTACAATGTTTTTGAGGAAACTTGGATACCCCATTGCCTAGCTGACCTTCCCACAGTAGTACCACAAGTTACTTTGTTATTGTTGGTTTTTTACTTTTTTTATTGAGGGGGTGGTGTTTGGGTTTTTTCCCCAGGTGTGTAGATGGTGGGGAAAATAGCCAAACCAAACTCTGACAAAATCAGAACAGTTTAATCTTTCAGCTGGCATTAAATGCAGCTTTTGTTAACGTCGCACGGGCCAAGAGTAATCTGTAAACATATGTGAACACATTTGAATGAACAGATACAAACACTTGCTTTAAACTGACTGTTTCTTTCCCTTTCTTTTAACTTGGGCTCTGATTGGATAAATACACACACGTTCGGCTTACGCGTACAAGGACCCTCGCTGACTTCAAGGAACCATTTTCCTCGTACAAATACTTTTGCAGTGCCTGAGATAGGCAACAGTGGAAAAAAAACAGCCTTCAAAAATCTGTTCTGTGATTACGTTACCTTCCGAGCTTATCAATAATGACAAGCATGTGTCAGTCTAAACTGATATTTCAAAGTTGAGTCAGCCTTCTGATTCACATGCATAGTGAGATAGATCTTAACAAAAAAACACCTTTTTTTCTTATCCCCACGCCTGTAAGTCTATCTTGCTTTCAACTTAGTATTGACTATAACTGCGTTTAGCTGTCTCTGATTAGCACATTTCTCTCCTCATTTCATTAATTCGTATTAAGCGCCTATTAGATGCTAAGTCACCTTCTGTCAGAATTTGAATCTGGGCAGCGGTCAGTAGGAACAAAGCAGCATATCCCAAGCTGGGCTAGTATCAGGCCCTCAAACAGCAGTACCAAATAAAACAATGATTAAGAAGCTTTCTTTGAAAGACAGGAGAATCTGTGACTGCTCTCCTACCAACTGGGATGCAGAGCAGAACTCTGGCTGCGTATCAACTCTCTAGATTAATTTTTTGATTCTCTCTCAATCACAGCCTCAGAGAAAAGAGGATTTTCAAAAATTATTATTATTACTGTTTTGCTATTTTCATTTTAAAGTCCTACTTTTCTTCTTTTCCTTGTCCACTTCCTTGCCCTCTCTTGTAAGGGAAAAAGAGGAGTAAGTTTAGAAATAGGATCTGGAGACAAACCTATTGCATTAACTGGAGTTAGGCAGGACTCAGTTTGCATATTAGGAACCAAGATGCCCCATTCAGTTATTTCAGAATGACTTTAAATCACTCTTCAGTTTCGATTATCTGTACTGACCAGGTTCCATCACACACTAAGGGAAACTTAGACAGCATCTCACACACAGACCACTGGGTGTAAGCACCTACATTCGGAAGCCTGAATCTGGACCTGCCCAACTAGCCTGTACCTAATCGCTCTGTATGGGTACAGCAGAGTTCCACAGGCGGGAGATTCAAGCTGTGACACACCACCACAGTTAGAGTAACAACAGCGAAAAGAACAATGTACTCTAGTACAGCAGAGCTGGTATGAAAGCTCAGGGGAATACATAAAAAAGAAACTGTAAATGGAAGTACAAAATGTGAAAAGGCTTGTGAATTCAATAAATTTAGTCAAGCCTGAAATGAAATCCAACTGCAAAGTCCTAAATCCAGTAAGCAATTTAAAGAATTATGATGGTACAAACCTTTGATATGTATTAGATGCTTCTGAGCAAATCATGCTTTCCTTTCTTCTTCCACATTCACACTGAAGATCAACCTGTTGTATGAGACACACAAGCACGCTGCCTTAAACTTTTGCCTTTTTATGGCCATGGAGAGGTGTGAGGGAGGTCCCATTTTAGTGGAATAATGACTAGTTAAAAATGATAGCTTTTTGAAAATTTCAGTATAATTAAGTTGCCGGAAAAAATATCATGCTATCAATATACAAACACACCTGTTTTTATCACAACAATTACTGGCTGATAATTAAACCATACAATTAGGAGTGAATTTTCTTTGGGTATCTAACCTTTGCACTGCAGGATGTGTTTGGGCAGGGTGAAGAAGGATGACATGGCGCCATACAGGGATGATTACAATACAGCCTTGGAATAACACATGGTTGTTTACACTCTTCATCTATAAGACATTCTCCTTTATGACAAATTCTTTTACATTTGTGCATTCCACATTTCAACATTTGATTGCAGCGAAGTCCGCAGGAAATGTCAGTGAGATGACAAGGAATATTACTTCGCAGCTGGAAGAGGGAAGGAAAAGGATGACAACTAAAAATGAGGAATTATAAATGCAAATCTCAAAGTACTTTTACTGTTCACACCTTCATCTGGCGCTGTCCACTCAAGAAGCATCATACTAAAATATCTTAGGACAAAGACTGAGTTTTTCTTTATATCATAGGTCAATACAGTAGTTGGTCTGAATGCCTATGGCATAAAAGACATACTTTTCTCATTTAATCACATAAAGCCCAAACTCCAGTAACATACTCCATTACAAAGAGGCCACAAAAATCTAAGCCCACAGTCCTACAACATGATTTAGTATTGAAAAACATTAATTGTCCAGACTTACTTCATGCTTGCCCATACACCATTTCTGAGTGAGATAGGTACAGGGTGGACATTTCTCCTCACTGTGACACGAATGGTACACTGCAGACACAGAAGTATAAAAGCCAGCACAGTTTGATTAGTGTATGTCAGTCAAATGCATTAAAGGCGACAGTAAAGACTATTAAACATGAGTTTGCATCTCAGAACTACACAATTTACAGGAAGCGTGATGCTTCATGCAAGGATAATCTGTTCTTTAAAGTACTCCCTAAAACTTATAATGGCAGGGTTTTAGGTGAATATTCCTCCATATTTTCTAAATTAAATAGCAGAGAATTTTATAAGTTCTGAGCAGGGTTATACTGTCACACAGAATTTGTCAGAAAAGCATAACTGTTTGGCCTGTGCTGTGGTTTTTTTGCAATCAGCCGATGTAATTTCAAGGAATGTAGAAACTAACTGTTCACTAATTATCCCACTGTTTCAACAGAGAATTTCATCTTTGGAATATAGCACTTAATGTGTGGTAACTATTAACAGTAATGAGAAAAATATCCAATGTTTTTTTATCAGTTAGCAGCACCACTGCTTATACTCATGCAAAGTTTCAGGTTGGTTGGCTTTTAAGATTAGACTTTTAGAAATATTCACAACCACTGAAAAAGCATCTAGTAAAAAAGCAAATATATTTTCAAACAGATTTAGGTCTACTTTTCTACATTATGATTTAAAAAAAACCCAACCAACCAACCGCAACAAAACCAAAAGACCCAAGCAAAACTGAATGGCCTGACTTACCTGGATGATCACAGTCATGTGGCCTGGTGCATGTTTTTTTACACTCAGGTGGTTGAGTGCCACAGGGGACTGGGGGGTAAATCACAGATTCACCACAGTAGCAAGTTAACTCATCAAAACCTGGGGAGGGAAAAAAAACCACAAACAACATGTTTTTGCACTTCTCTACTATGAGAAATCTTTAGATAACATGCAAATCTTTACACCAGCTGTGTGTTTGGTATTCATCACTGGAATGAATTTATTAGCTCTTGTGGCTCCTACAAGAAAACTGGACTATGATCACTTCATTAGGAACTAGGCTCGCTTTTAGAGAATGGTACTTTGACAGCAACATTTTGAACTGGAGCGAGAGAAACGCTCATGTCAAGTTGAAAGCTGTTGCTGTTCTATGCTTGACTTAAAAATGGGGAGCTCTCTCTTGAATTCCCTTCCAGAAAGCACATCATCCGTATCTTGTGCTCCAAACTTTCCCCCACCATCACTTTTTTCAAACCAGTGGTTAGATTTTGTCCTCTTGCCAAGCTCTGCTCATGGTACTGTGAAGATTCCAAAGAAAATTACCCGAAGGCCACCAGTCTGCAGACTTCTTCCTATCATTTCTTCTGTATACTTCTTTATATTGTTTAGTGTTACATGGACCCTCATAAGCAGGTTATGAACCTGTCCAAAGACTTTGGAAGTTGTCTGTCTCAGGCAGTATATATTTTATTATTCTCTTTTTCCCTCATTTTTTCCTTCAATATTTGAGAAACAGATTTTTAAACTCTTTGCACAAGATTCCAAATCTCAGTGATAAAATAAACAAAGGAATAAAAATACTTGCATACACAATCCCAACTAAAACTGCACAAAAATCAATAGAGTTCACCGCTGTTTTGCAGTCTATAAAGAAACTGGGAGGGAAAAAGACTGGAATGCAAACAGATAAACCTGTAGAAAAACAGGACACTAAGAGGAAATATTAACATAAGAGAGAATATTAACATGAGAACAAAAAGAGAGTATGATTTATCTTTAAATTATTATAAAGGTAGTGGATCAGGGAGAAGGAGAGAATGATGGAGGAGGGAAGAGAATTATGGAACAATAACACCACAATCCACGTTGGAGTTGTTAAGGGAGCCACTGAATACAGCAAGTTCTCCAACTCTGGGAATTTCAGGCTTCCTCCTTCCTAGTCTACCAAAGCAAAATCTGTTGAACTCTAAACCCCCAAAGGTTCCTACTTGTCCCACTTCCATGGATACAATGGCTGCTGGATCAATATGGAGGTCCAGCCACTAGCAAGACTGAACACGTATTCCAGAGAGACAAGACACACAACACATACATGACAATAACAGAACCAGGCACGCAGACTAACACAGGGCCAACTGAACAAGATTCATGTAAACAGGAATACCAATAGCCAAGTCCTCTTCCTCCTCTCCAGCTCAACAACACTGAAGTTCATTCGTGAAGACGCGCATACGCTCTAGATTCACATGCACACCACATTCATGGATCTCAAACATTAGCATAGGCTCTGTCTAATATTCATATCTGGCCTGACCCCTTACCCAGTCACTGGCTGAAACCATGGGTATTTCCAGGGGCAGATCTCCTCCTACTAGCCAGTTTGCTCAGCTCTGAAGCAAGCTCATTAGCAAATTGCCCAGGCATACACTAGCACATACAGAACTGAAGGTAACAAGGGAATTGCACACCCCCCTGGTCCCTCCAGATGCTGGCACCCAGACCAAGGGGCCCCTCCAGACTTCAAAGCCACAAGTCTTCCTTAGTCCAGGAAGATGAAAGACCAGAGACCATTTGCTAGCCAGAGCTAAACCACACCACTTGTGACCCCATTCTCCAGCTGCTGTCATTACAGTATGTCATCTGTCTGGTCCCTCCAGTTGCTGGCAGAGAGATTATGCGCTCCTGTGATCTCCAGCCAAATCTCCCATTGCTGGCACTCGGACCTCTCAAACGCAGTACAGAGAATGAGATTACTATTACTGTGAGAACGAGGCCATAACCAACGTATGGCTCCTTACATCAATGCATGATTCCTCACATACTTAAGTAATTGCTGCATCAGCATACATAACAATATATTTCGCTCTAGTTCAATTTTAACTATTAAGATCCAACACTTAGTAAACTCACCTAGAATAATTTTCTCTTTCACAAGAAAGCATACAATCAAAATCAACCTCATTCTTCAGCTTCTGGTCAATTTGGATCACATTGGCTGTCCAACTCTGACCAGTTAAATGAATAGATTTCTATAATACATAAGAAATAATGTACTCTTGGATGTTAACTCACTTGTTTGCCAGCACGTTTGACAACTTCCCCGATGACAGGGTTCTTCACATCTATGAAGCCCACAGTTGAGTTTACGACCACAAACCAAAGAACACTTATGTTCTGTGTCCTAGGGAAAGGCAAAAAAGAAAAAAGCAAAATTAAACTATAAACTCCATTTTATTATTTTTCCCTGCGAGATCATAATTGACAAAACTGTATAGTTCAAAAAAATAGCTTAGGCCTGATCTATACAATTTTTCTATCACTGTATGGATACGCAATTTTTACAGCAGAGCATGTTAAGACCTCTGTTGCAGACACAGCAACAACACATCTTCTGCTTCTTGTATTAGGTAGTATCCTTTCCCTTACCATCCTCCCTGGAATCTGCATTGACAAAAAGCACCTTTACAAGGATTTAACTACATTTAGGCTGGAACATGGGACTACATTTCTAATGATACCCATAAAATAAATGCTGCAAAATAAATGCACACAGGAAAAACTTCTTGAGCGTGACCAGAACTGCAAATAGAGACTGAAGATGCCCCAAAATGGAAAGATACGAAAGCAAAAGTCTTTTAACATGACAACCAAAACCAAACGCACATCTCAATGGACAATTCTATAAAACCACGCGTAAACTTACCACACAGCAGACTTCGTTACACTTGTGTCGTCCACACGACCTTTTCTTGTTGCATCGCTTGTCACACATGAATGTAATAGCAGCTATTGAAACAAAACAAAAAAACACCAACCAAAAATGCAAAGTCGTAACTCTCATATCTTTGCTTATGCTGAGAACAAAAGCTGCAATCACAATATTTTGCCAATACAGTTGCAGACCATGGTCTAGAAGATACTAATACAGAATAAGTGAGCACGTAAACTTTTAAACTACTTGCTTTTCCACATTAATTCTGCATCTGAACACTCAGCCTCTTTCAAACAAACCCTTGTTCAAAAGGGTTTTGGAGAGCAGAATACATGAAACTAGTTTATTTCATATTAGTCTTTACACCATAAACTGCACAACACAGAAAAATGGATAACTGATACACTGGAGTACCGTGAACATCCAGTTTAAGACTGATTAAATTGTTAAGGCAGTAAAGGTCAGCTAAATACAACTACTGCTGATATGCTCATGAAACTAGTGCTAACAAAGAACATCCTTATCACCTTCCACAGCTAACACGAGCAATCACTTCTGGACTCTGAAGAGCAAAGTCCTCATAGACAAAACTCAGATTAGGAATAGGCATATTACTATCGCTGGTATCTTGTAAATAAGTACCTCAGTATGACAGGGGTCCATCAAGTAAAAATTCATTGAGCTGAACTTTCAGATGCTACATCCAGAATACCAAGAAGCGTCAAATGGGAACTCTCTGCCAAGCTCAGATGCAAAGACGAGCAGCATACAACTGTGAAGCAGAGTCAAAGCTTGTATTTCCCCAGGAACTTGGACAAAAGCATTACTCTGCATCTGAGCTGTGCAAGTTGACCCAAAGATATGCAGGGGGGCAACCTATTGTGTGTGGCAGGTAGCCTAAGAAAACTGTTCACGTTGGAATAGACACCTTGTCTGGAATCACGGAGATCAAATGCTGAAGAAGTCATTCTTTGTGTAAAAGATGGACAGAAATCAAAGAGGTTTATTTCAAACCACTTCCCAAAAGCAGCAGCATCTTATGACGTAACCACATTGACATCCAAGTATGGATAAAAGAAGCAGTACTGATTAAATGTTTGCCAACTTCATGAAACCCCAAATTAGTGAGAGCTGTGCATCATTTTGAAAACAATGTCACATTGTATATGTAACATAACATCGTACCTTTATTTCTCAGGAGAGCACATGGGACTTCCTAGGAAACAAACAGGGAGCCATTAGGTTAAAATAAATGAAACAACTGAAACTTATTTAACTAAAAGACACCCAGTCACATGATACAAAGAGAAGCTGCACTCTCAGTTGTCATGTGTGAAACACTTCTGTATACAAAAGTGAAACAAAAGCTGGAAAAACAAATTCTCAAATCTTTTAAGACAATACTTTTACCCTAGAGATTCAATACCGAATAAAAACCTCTAGTTTTGTATTCTCCACTTAATTCAAAAGATAACGCTGTGAAGTGACAGAAGCAGGTTTTTCCTAAGAGACCAGAAACTTGCACAGAGGAAACCAAAAGAGCTCTCCCAGGGAATATTGACATAGCACACAAATCTGTACTTCGACCAACTGTCCAAAAATGTAAGTCTGCCAGGACAGACAGGAGGAAAGAGGGAGGGAGGGAGGGAGATCAAGTCTCACAATCAAAGAAGCTTTACCTAGATTGAAGACCTAAAATAAAAGGTGATGGATGAAAAGAACATTGTTGACTGTCTGCATTTAAATCTTCAGGCACCACAACTTTACATTCCGAGTCGTCATTTCTGAGCATCACATTTTTCATGACTGATTTAAATTATCACTAAAATTCACACAATTTTTCAAGAAGCAGCTTTCTGGTGTCCAAGAAGCTGCACAAACTGAAACCCAAATCTTCCTGCTTCGTTTCAGGCCTCAAAATGAAAGAAAATTAAAGCCTTCTACCTCAAGAAAATTGTTCCAACTTCAAGCAAAGTCTCATTTTTAGGTATTTAGACTTCATATATTCAGAAGCCATCTCTACTTACAGAAGATATCTAACAGGTCAGAACAGTCATCAAGGCTCTTGTGACAGTAGCCAAAGATTTCAAAACTATGCTTAGAGAAAGTAACACAGTTCAAAAATACACTAATTACTGTAAGTCTGTCGTTGAGGATCTGCGGGGTCACTATATATATATATGCAAAGAATGAGGACCAGTAAAAGCTTCATGTTATCTCAAAAAAATTATACAACAAATCTACAAGCTATTACTATATAATTTTAGTTTGCTTTTTATGTTAGGCTACTTTCTTCTCTCAGTTTACATTACTCTCAGTAAAACTACGCTGCTTTGTGCTATATAAATACTGCAGAGTAACACAGGACTTTGCAGCCAGCTTAAGCAAAGAGAATTCTGTGTAAACTCTGCAAAATTACTTCAAAAATGTGCTTTCACAGTCAGTAGTCCATGTTAGCACTTCACAGTATGACCTAGTTAGCATCTATCCGTCAATATACAATGGAGGCTCTTGCAACTAAGGAGCACAGCACCTCTTTTAATTCTTTGCTTTCTCTTCCTCAACTACTTCAGCTCCATGCTCACCACAGCTTTAAAAAACAAAGATTACCTGTTTTCATGGTCAAGCTTTATAAACTCACCTTCTTTTTGAAGCCACACCTACAATAAATATTTGACGTGTGAGAACATGGTCTACAGTCTCCTTCATGGCAAAGGCTTTCACATGTGTGAACGAACTCTAGCAAAATGAAAATACAAAGATTAACGAGTAATTAAAAGAAAGGAATCCATGAGCTGGAAATTTGTATTTATTAGGAGCATTGCTGGTCAAAGATACTAAGCTTATGTGCAGCTGGGTTTCCAAACAAATGAACTGTTTTGAGTGAAATGTGCATAGAATTTTGCCATTATTTTCCACTTTTTACTCTTTAATCTACAGACTAGATTTTCAGGCCCACAATTAACACTAAAATTACATACATTATAATTAACATATTTAAAAAAAAGCTTGTGTGATACTATCTTACTTAAAACTCCTGAAACTTGGGTAATATTTTCTTCCCTTTCAGTCCAAAAGAATTACTTACTATGCATACCTTCAGATTTCACTTGCCAAGTTAACTGAAATAATAGAATCATAGAATGGTTTGGGTTGGAAGGGACCTTAAAGACCACCTAGTTCCAACCCCCCTGCCATGGGCAGGGACACCTTCCACTAGACCATCTTGCTCCAAGCCTCATCCAGCCCGGCCTTGAACACTTCCAGGGATGGGGCATCGACAGCTTCTCTGGACAACCTGTCCCAGTGCTTCACCACCCTAAAACTAAAAGATAAATTACCTCATTCCCTTTCTATGTGTTGTCCTTGGACTGACAGAATGGATCAGTCATTAACGAGAAGCCCTCATCTTAACAGCATTGGTCTCCCTCCTCTCTGAAGTCTAACAAATCAGATTAAATATGTGGTCTGTAAAACTGGAGCTTCACGCAGCCTCACAGTGAAACACACTTGAGTTACCTTATGCACTCACTGAAGTGTCAAACTGCTTCTGCACGTAACTGCTCCAACCCTTCCAACCCTACTTTTCACTTCAGGACCCTCTTACAGCAGCAGGAAATGACTAATTACTGGAGTCATCTAAACAAGGTCATTTATCTCTACCAGTCTCCACATGAAAGTCAAAGATCTAGGTGGACTTTTAAAAGACATCAGTACATACTAGTCTCTGGAAATTCCTACAGCTCTGTTCCTCTACCAATATAGGAAAGATGCGTGTAAACAAAATTTAAAGGGCTAGCTAGTGTTAGTGCTTTCTAGACAAATATATTTCCTGATTTTAAGCTATCATTATGAGCAAACTCCAGGGTCTGCAGTGGTTTTTACACTCGGTTTGGTTAAAACCCAAAATCATCAATAAAATATTTATTTCTTGAAATGAAACAGTTGAGGACCACTTTTTTTTTTTTTAAACAACGAGATAATACTCTGATGCAGAAAGTTCTACTTACCATAGCTGCCACAGGAAAGAGGTTTGCCACATGTTTTTCCACATGACGGGATAGGGTCTGTGCATATTTTACGTTCAACACATCCTAGTTCCAGTAACTTGCTGAGAGGAGTCTGACCACACGGACAGCGATACACGACTTGTGGAAGCCGTGGGCAGAGCTGGCAAGGCTGAGGATGGCATACTTGAGTACAGTTGTGCCTCCCACAGTTTAATTTTCTGGAAAAAAAACAAAACCGAAGAAACAAAAAAACAAAACAAGAAAATAAAAGAAAAAGAAAAAAGAAGAAAAAGAGGAATTATCTAAGAGTATCATGATCACCAAGTGTGAATAAGATTACCTCTTTCAAAAGCCTGAATTATAGTGACCTTACTTGCCACATATATTCTGACATGAGAAATTCCCAAATCCATCAGAGAATTCTTCCTTTGTTCCACAGAATACTTCTTTAAAGTTGCTTCCACAGTAACACACTGAAAGCACAATATTCCACAGAGAACAACACGAGAGAATATCAGTGACAAAACACCTCCAGCAGTACAGCAAATATAAAAAGGTAAAAAGTGAAAAACTGAGAAAGTCAGTGTTTAGAAGGATATTGAAGTTACTGCTCTTTAGATTATTTCAGCAAGAAAGGTTTCTCAGTCCTATGGAAGCTGGAATTCCTGTTTTATTGGTTTTGATAAGGAAATAAAAACTAAAGAGGGAAGTACTATCTGCACAAAAAATTTACATATTAAAGCAGTATACATATTAAGTTTATTAGTACCATAAAATTTGAGAAAATTAATTTGCAATTTTCTATATAAGCTGTTCAACAAAAGGTATTTGCATACCCACAATTAGACAATTTCCATTCAAGGCCAAGCTCAGAAAATTTTAACAGAAATCATGATTAGCTTGTTGTAACGTGCTTTCTTATACCCCTTTCTATTCTCCTTCCCTGTACTGCTTAATCAAGTCTCAGAATTACTTGAAAGATTAAATAGGATCATAGGACAATTCACGTCAGAAGGGCCCTCAAGGAATCAGCCAGTCCAAGCTCGCTCTTAAAACAGAGTCAGCAATGAGAACAGACTACATTACTTGGTATTTTAAGACCATATTACTCAGTGTTTTATTCAGCTGCATCTTGAAATCCCCCAAGTTCCCCAAAAAAGTTTTCCCTTATAGCTAGTTATAACATTTCAACTTAGGCTCGTTGCCTGTCATCCTTCCCCCTCCTGCACAGCCTGTCCCAGATGTCTTGATTACTTCCTATTAGCTCTTTATTGAAAGGCCATTACTCAGCCTTCACAAAGCTACAAAGTCCAGTACTACCAGCCTGTCCCAACAAGGCACATGCTCCAACAGCCTTTGGTTGTGTTACGTAAAAATAAAGCACTTGCCTCTTGGCACTGGTTTTTTTCACCCTCTTGTTTTCATACTATAGAGTACATAAGGCGTTCTAATACTTACCTTGCTGCACTGTTAATTGGCAAGGTGAACATTTTCCTGCATGGCAGACTTGAGTGCAGCTGTGCTTACCACAGTTTAAAGTGTTTCCACACACATTAGAACAACGAATTTTTGTTGATTGGCCGCAGCGAACTGAATGACTGTAGAGAAATGACACCATAGGCTGTCAGGTACCTCAGTAGCATAACATAACATTTTTTTCAGAAATAACCCCGCTATTTTTCTCCCTGCTTCCCCTCGCCTGCCCCCTTCAAGTAGGATGCCTATTACAGTAGGAAGTCTACAGAATTTCCAGGGGGGTTTTAATTAAATAGTTTTTAAAAATGGGACAAAATGATAAATCCTCTTTTTCCATTCTGGCTGGCCTCATACAATGACCATAAAACATACATTTGAAATATTAACTTCAAAGCATCTTCAAGTCAGAGGTGCCGTACCACACATCTTGGATGATAATACAATACATACGAAAAAAAGCTATTTAGAAACAAGATTTAAGTACTAAAGACAGTATTACACAAATCAGCCATCTGGTGAAAGTAGCTGGCACCTGGGAAAAATAATAGATCAAGGTTGGTTGCATCTATTAAACTTCTAAATGCAAGGGATAGCTAGAATAAAAATAAAGGAGGTGATCTTCCTGAGTACAGTAAACTTCAGTAATCTACAACCCACCCATTTCTCTACAGAAGAGAAAGTACTTTCAACTATAAAGCCAGCCACATGAATAATTTTTCAAAAGAAGATACAGCTAAGATCACTTAATATTACATTCAGTTTTTCAGAAGCAACTGTTAGAAGTCTGAGAATCTTTTTTTCTAGAGCAAGAATGCCAACACTGAAATCAGGTTCTGTTTGGTTTAGTTCTGGAAACGAGCAGAGGTAAACGTTTTATTACACAGAATCAGTTCTAGGTAACTGGAACAGGGACTCGAAAGACTCAGAACAACTGAATATGAGAGAGTGCTGATAGTATGGGCAGTAGAGTTTTACTGTTGCCAGTGTCACTATATACACCAAACATGCAAGGAAAAGATAGTCTTTAAGTCTGGAATAAACTTCTCCCTTGCTAGCAGTACAGCTTCCCAGAAATGTCCATGTTATTTCTGAAATTATTGTTTCTGGAATGGAGTAACTCAACATTGCATTCCATTCAGACAGAAAAATAGTGCACCTTTTTCTTCTTTCTCTGTCTTCCATAAAATAGAATAAATAAATACTAGAAGAGGGTTTCAAAATCAAATCAACTGCCTGGACATTTCAGCTACACGTACCATAAATTGATTTTAACATAAACAACTTACCAAAAATTATTTTTATATTTTCTTAGAAGATTAAACGTAATTGTGGATTTTTTTTAAATAAAACATTCTCCAAGTTTTTTTAGCACACAAACAAAAGTTACAGCTCAGAATAAACTTTGTTCTGTAAACTTTTAATAAACTGTAAGAAAGGTTTTATTGTATAAACTTGTAATAAACTATTCTTACATAAACCTATGTTTGTATAATAGAAGCATTCTCACCTTGTTTGTCTACATTCACATGTTTTTGTCACAAAGGCTGGGCACGAAGGACAAGGTCCTGGATGGCACAGACTTAAAAATAAGTCAAAAAAGGAAAAAAATGAAAAGTTAACTTTCACTTTACTACACTCACAGAGAAACAACTCACCATGATCTCCAAGAGGGATTCTGGTTCCACCCTCTGGCGATCCCAACAAATAGATAAATACATGTAATGCCCTCTTATCCTCAAGAGTTCACCAGCCAAAGAAAAGAAAAAGAAACAAAGGACAGGAGCAAGGGGTCCTTCAGTTTAACCAAGACCCACTGCTCTTGGATTATGATATACAAACACCGCTAAAAGAAAAGCAGCACCTAAATTGCCAGGTGGGCCACTGAGTGCACCTTTAAAATTACTTCTATTCACTGTTAGTTTTCTACTTCACTGAAAGTTCTTGAAACCAAGTCAGGCAGATGGTTTGGTTCCTAAAACACAAAATGTTACTAAAACTATAGTTGCCAACCTGTTCTCTCTCCTTTAGACACAAAACCACAAACAGCCTCCATTTCTTCCCAGCTTCAGATGAGCCATAAACCAAATTCACCTCGAAGCATACTATATAGTCAAAAAATATCCAAATATGGTCTTCAGAATTTTTCTCTACATCATTTCAAGATTCACATGACAAACATTTACTTACATGTTACAAAGATGCGGACAGTCCACACACTGTCTCTTCTTTCCACAAAGTTCCCCACAGCTATGCGGGATTTCATTTCTATTCCATTCAGGATTGTGCACCTTACCTAAACCACGTCAAAGACAAAACCACAGTTATTTCCATTAATACAATATTGAATTTGGGAAAAATATCACATCAAGAAGAAAAACCTCTATTTTCAATGCTGGCAATAGTTGTCTTTGAAGAACAAAATAACACAAAATATTTTATGTTCTTCTCAGCTTTCAGTGATGGTACATACTCAACTTCTTTTTAATTTATTTTATTTAAACTATCATTTACTAAAAGTAAATGCCACTGCATTATCAACCTCCAGAAAATTCTTTCCTTCTATATTTTCAGCAGGCACGTAGACAGCTGGTATTCACATTAAACTGATAAAATACAAGAAAATTAAGAGCCCCCTTTAGTTGGTCAGGCTGCATAATAGGAAAAAAGATTCAGGGTAAAACTCTTAACCTCCTCAATGCAGGAAAAAAAAGAAAAAAGACACCATTTCCAGAAAACAAGATCTAACTGGTAAGATGATGGGGAATAGGGGCAGAATGAAATGACTGGGCAAATTACAAAAGTCACTTCTCTAAAAAGCAGCAGACTGCATAAATTTAAACACTGAAGTTTGACATTTTGATGAATGCAGCAGAAGTCTTGAACAAGAAGTGATAAATCCAGTATGTTAGCTTCAAGTATTCTATACTTCAGAGAAGCACTGAAACCATATTTTAATTAACCTGACATACAGTTAGCAAGTCTTAGAGCTCTAAGTGTCTAAGTGCATGAGACAATCACCATGCTAAAAGTTAATTGCCACAGTTAACACATGCAAACCTAATTGGGCTCTCTGCAAGAGAGAAATTAAATGAACAATGAAGCAACTAAACCAGTGTTGCAACAGTTAAAAATGCCAAGCAAACATATTTTTGGTGACAGGCTTCTATCATTTTAACTCTTTTAGTACACCTTTGTACATTCTACAAGTAACAAGTTAGGAAAACACGAATAAACACCACAGATGGCATTTGTTCACCTGAGTTTCAATTAAATCAGTTGTATAGCCAGGAAAATCCAGAAAGTTACAAGATTAAGAAGAAAAATAAGCTAGGAATTCCCACTCATGGAATGGTGGGAAAACCCACATCTAATCACATTCAACACACAGTTAGTATTTTGCATCAAATAAAAGATATCTTTGCATAAGCAACTGGTGATGTCCTAATGCTGTATCAGTAATGTAAAATTACCTTCAGAACGTTCAAGTCTTATGTTCCAGCATGGTGCTCTGCTAATATTAACCCTGTGGACAACTTGAGGTTCCTACTGCAGATCTCCCAAAACTACAAAACAGTCTTTAAGCCTAGGCAGAACTTCCTTCCTATTTAACATATGGACAGCCTATCTCAAAAGTGTAATTTTCATTTGGAATCAAAACATTCGTTCTAACTGAATTATTACCTCACACTCTTAAGATTTCACACATTGTCATACAAAAACTCCCTCTTACCTGCATTGCATTGGTCTTAACTGACTCACTGACACAATACATAAAGAGAACTTTAGATAAAACTGTTATGTATTACAGCATAAGTCTAACTTTCTTAGGGGAAGTTCATTAACTCCCAGTCTCAATCCAGAACATTCTGTTCAGTAGAAAGCAAGGTTAAACTTTCCAGTCACTCTGACTTAAGGAAGGGAAAGGTATGTGAAATCAACACAAATTTCAAAATTGTAAATCCCAAAGAAAATGGGTTCATATGTATGCAAGTAACAATTCATTTCTCACTTTTTGTCATATACTTACGGCTTAACAAATTATGTACCCAATTTACCACTTTTATTAGATATGTTTCTACATACAGGTCTGAAAATTTGGAATATTATTTCCTATTTAACCTGTATGTGCCCCTGATCAACATAAATGACAAAGCTCCTAAATCATTTTAAAGGTTTAGATAGTGGTATGCTTGAACTGTGTATTATTTTGGTGTATCCTGCCACAGAGAAAGACAACGCAGGCAGGTTATTTCAGCCCTTCCACAAAAGCAAGCTTGGAGAATAGCAGCCCAATTCTATCATTATTCTATGAAAACCACTATTTTTGTACAGCAACATGAAAATATTTCACTTATGACCTCATATTTCATTTTTAAAATGTTTTCACAAATGTGTGATTCTCTGTATAGCCACTTCCCAGTGTCAATAACATTTTAACAAGGTTAAATTTCAGGGACGTAGTCAAACTAACAGCAGTATCAAATTTTAAAAAGAATCAGAATGACAGAATCAGTTTTCTTTGCAAAAGCAAGCAAGGAACTCACCACAGAAACAGGTGTAAGTTTTCGGAACCTGCGTAGAAGCATTCTGACAAGCTGGGCATCTCCAACCACTGTTGCCGTCTGTAGGTGAAAAAATTAAAGATAAAAAATGACTTAAAGCAAATAAAGGGAATAATTTGCAAACCTTGTATACACGCTCTCACCTTGTTCCTTATCACAGCTGCAACCAAACTGTTTCTTTTCCATTTACTCAGAAGTGGCGAGAAAGCAGAGCAATAAAAATGCATTTTATGCAGTATCAAGATAAGCACAGCAGTGGAACTTCATTGGACCAGGATCCCACTTCATACAGAGGCAAGAACAAATTTCAAAATTGCACTTTTCCTATAATCATGTGCCCTGTTATAATACATCCTACTAGAATACAGACAGAATCCACCATATCTGAAGATATGACCGAAAAATGTGTTAAAATGTGGGAAAGTGGTGAGAAGAATATATTTACCCACAGTCTTAAGCACCACCTGTATTTTCCTTCTCGTTACTCTCTCATGAGTTTACGTGTCTCGTAGAAAACCAATTTAGCATCGCTTCATGTCCAGAATAAATTAGTGCTATGTAAACCAGAACAATCTAATTAATTTTAAGGTGACAATACCTAGCTATTGACTAGGACACTACTCTTCAAGCTGGTATTTTATTAAATAGTAGTCTTCGTGCTTCTGCATCTCAGGATGGTGTTGGTTAGCAGTAAAGGAAGAACTTCAGTGTAAGGAAAGCAACATTCACAAAGATGTTTCCCAAATTCAGTACATAACTGGCTGTGAAGAACACCAGTGTGAGAGCACTACTGAACACAAAGTGGGGCAGGGAGTAAAGTGATAGATTTTTTTTTTTTAATATACCTATAGATAGATACAAAAATATATAAATATAAACTGATTAGCTTTTACTGTCTCTCTTAACCAACCAATTCAGTGCAGCTAAATTAATAAAGCTGTGATTTTAGAACTGTTCTTTGTGATTAAGAAATCTGACCAAGATTTACGATATTTTCATGTTATGAATGCAGGAGGGATCACAACAAGAAACCCTACGGGGGACAACTGCACTGCAATGAGAGGCACACCTAGGCTCACTGTCAATTGGATTGGAGACTTCTTGCATTAACCTCATAATACACAACGGTCATGATGTTCACGAACTGGAAGTGGTCCAGATTACAGACTGCCTTGACACTCCTGAAATGCAAATCTAAAGCATGTTAATTCTTTTGAATCCTTGGTGCCTATATTTACCCATGGTTATCCTGGCTCCTATCGCTGTGCCACCAGGACTGCCACGGAGTGCTGTACAATTATGGGCTGAGCAGCTGCAGGACAGTGGCACAAAGAGTATACTCCCATATTCATGCTCAAGACCAACCTGCATTTCCTGACCAAGAAGGTTGTTCTTTTATTTGACTGAAGCATCTCAGCAAGAAGCACCTTGGAGAGGTGTTAAAAGTTATAGGTAAAAACTGGCAGTAGGGTACTGAAAGGCGTATTTGCTGATGAAGCTGTCAGCACCTTATGTGGCTTCTCCCAAAGCTAGCATACTAAACCCTAAGGGATTCCCTATGGGATTACTTTGTACAGTGTACTGAACAATCACATTTATCAAGGAAGAAGTAGCTGCCTGAGCACTCACACAGCATTCAAGGAGTCATACCCACACACCCCACCCGAGGCTAACCTCTAGGACCAGAATCTCCTTGCAGTGGTGACTCCAGTGAGCTGACGGGTGCCTCTCCTGACTCCTTACACACACACTCATGGGCACTTCATCCTCCGGCTCAACCCTCGGTTTCCCAAAGCAGAATCTCAGACACGATGCACGCCAGATGAATTTAGTGAGTGGCACAGCCATGAAGAGCAGCTCGAGCTGGGTGTCTCCAGAGATGGACCCCAAACAAAAGAATCTCAGGGCAGCTATACCTTTACAACCCGGGTTCCCCTCCCCTCGTGCAATGGTTTGGTTCAGTAGCAGTATTTGGGTCTGAGGTGTCCTTGTTCCTCACTGTATTCTTTCTCTGTCTCCAGGTGGGCCATTCCTCTTATCTTGAAGAGGCAGCTTTTGCTTACAGTTGGGGCTGTCTTATCTTTCTAGTTTACACTGGTTTCAGGGCCTTCCCTCATGTAAGTAAGTGTGAGTTCAGTGTGAGTTCAGTGCAATCTAGGTGAAAGTTCACACCTTGCAGACTAACCTTCACTAATACTATACAGGGAGTTCCGTCTGAGCTAGGAAATGACCACTATTACACATTAACAACAACTTCTTTCGTTGCTATTCCATGTTATGCTTTTGAAACGCTGTGAAGGTAAGCCTACCATCAAAGCTTCAGGAGGCCAGCAGAAGGCCTCTCCTACCAACATCTCTCCCAGAGTGGGATGCCTAGTCCTCTACAAGCAACAGTTCCTCTACAGTATAGTGAAGGTCCTTGTAAAATACAAACCTTTTAGTAAGCCTTTCAAGATATATGTTGTTGTTCTTAACTACCAATTGTCCCTTGCTCCTTTAGGGCATAACCACATCCATGTGGGTCCACCCAAAATGAACCCAGTATTTCTGTGTTCCTCCAAAAATACAATAAATAAATTTTCTTCCTGGATTCGGGTGCAATTGCAGTAGGATAGAAAGACAGTAGGATGACTCCTGACATCCATATTTGTAAGGAGTGGTCCTGTAACCACTGGTCCTGCATCCAGTTCTTACAAATCCTGATTACTGCAGAAAGTGAGAATGAGGATGACCCTACAGCATGAACATTCCACTCTCATGAATCTTATCATGAAGAGGAGAGAAGTAGGCAGAACTCCAACCCAGAATTCCCTTCTTCTGGGATAAAGATTCCTTACCAATTATTTACCAAATTTTTTGCTGCACCTTTTCATATTGTGAGCATTTGTATTTGTAGCACTTCCAGCCAGAGAAATCTTTACTGCTGGTAGCATGCCCAGAACCCTGCCCCCTCCTATCGCATACCCGTTGTCATAAAGGCACAGTGAACAATCTCTTCAGTTTCCAGAATCCTAAAGGGTTAAGGGGCTCAAAAGAACCTTGAATAGGAAGAGCTGGAAATTATATATTCAAACGAGGGATCTTTATGTGCAGTTTCAAATAAGCACCTTTCCTCTATACATGCTTGCCTAGATGAGTCATAGGCGATTACATAAGGAAGGATCCAAGCACTTCTGCTGGAATAAGGAGTGAATGCTGAAAGGCTACGTGTCCAA